GCATACCTTTCTGGAAGAATGATGCGACTTGTATGAGACTACGGATATTGCGGAGATCTATCGTCATTGATAATTCGACGAGTTTGATTCGTCAATGTGAGGGTCCAGTTGAGGTTTGTAGACTCAGGCTGAGTCTATAGTACTATAGGATACCCTATAGGACCTATAGAGTATGAAATACCGATGATAGTCAGGAAGAGAGTCTGTTCAACAGACTATACAGATATAGAATCATCAGAATTGAAGAGATAATTCTGAAGTTTCGAGGATGATTGAGAGAATTGAATGCTATAAGGTGCCAGAGAGTGAGATCAACGTGGTCCTAAGCTATGGGAGCCCAATGACCAGCGCCGAAGTCCAATTCAGATTGGACTGTGGAGCGCAAAAGAAGATACTCGAAATATCATATTTCCCTACCCAGATTGGATTAGAAAAGGATGGTACTGATTCGGAATTGAAGCGAGGATTCGTCGAAGAGCGCACTCCGCCAGTTCAATAAGCTGAGTTCATTCATAGGAAGCTTTGTATGGGTCTGAGAAGCATACGCACTGCTGCAGTGCATATATCTGGCAATGAATATTCTTCTCCAGTGGAGAATCTCCACACCGTGCATTATGGATTATCATGTAAGTAGTAGCACTCATGGGATCTGCGTACTAAACGATTAGTGCTGGTCCAGTACGACCGGAGCATACCGCCATTCAATGGATTGCTTGATGGATTGAATCCATCAGTGGACCTAACAACAGTGGAATTCGATGTCGAGCATGATTGAGTAAAAGGTCTCGGTGTTTACATTTCTTATAGGAGAGAGAATTTGAGGTTACGAAAGTTTGTAGTACAAAATTTGTACTACAAATACACGGTGGGGTCAAAGAAGTCTTACCCACACGAGACTCTCGTGAGTCACGAATCGAGAGACTCTGCTCCCAGGGTTAGGATTCTGTACATAGGATATGATAGAGAAGAGGGACCTCTGGTTCATAGTATTCACGGAGAGCTTTCGCACGGATCGGAGTAGATTCTTAAGGGTGCTTGACTTCAAGTTCGAAGGTCTTGTCTGCGTGGTCGATAAAGTGAGACACAAGGCCGCTAAGTGCCTTGTGTGGGCGGACGCCTCTACGCGCGACCTCGGAGCAATGTTTGTGGAGACCACAATGTGGATTAATTGAGGACGAGGTTGGTTTTGTAGAGAACTGACCAAGAATCTGGCTAGGCTGAAGAAACATTCATACTGACGGACTTACGTACTCATGTGTTAACATGAGACTACGGTGTTTTGTATGGCCTATGACTATCAGTTTTAACCGGAGTCATATTGGCTTGATGTAGAGGTTCTAGCAGTGAAGGTATCCGGGTCTCCTCGCTCTCGGTAACCTTGATGTGAAAGCGATTTCGTGAAAATAGCGAATCTAGTGGCGACCATCACTCAACTGCTATCAAACGGACTGAGGGCCAACGATAGCGTCAAAGGTTAGATTATGTGGGTGGTGACTCCAGTCTCAAATTGGCAATTTGGGAATGGACGTGTATCGCGTAATATAGAGTATCGATCTGACTATTTGTTTCAGAAATTATCATCGGGTACAGTGACTGCGCGTGGAACCCATCGGTGGGTCTACCAATGAGCAGTTGGGGAGGCGCAATATGCTTTATTATGAGACTTGCGAGACCTCGATAAGTGGTGAAAGTCAGCAGACATCCGGGAATTACTGAGGTTCGATGGTCCTCTGAGTCAGCTGAATAACGAAACCCCATCTGACTAAGATGATCCAAGTATTTTTTGAGATCCGAATTTTCAGTCTGATTTGAGGTGGTACCCCATTGGTGAAGCAAAGCTAACAGGGACCGAGCATTAGCACATCAGATTCCCGCCGCACGATAGTCCGGTGATGGACAACGAGTTGACCGAGCCTCAATTCTGGTGGCCACTGTCCTAGGGTCAGATAAGGACCGGATCAAAACCCATCGGTCTAACGGTAACGGACGAATCTCGGGAGAGTCTCCGTCGGAGACTCGGGGGAATTCATCCCAAAATCGACGGTTGGCCAAGAAAGTATGAGGAAATGAATAAGGGAGCAAGGAACACAGATAGTTATGTAATAGTCAGATTTAGTTGTTGATCGTAGTGGGTAGTGTATTGGGAGGCATGACTAGTCAAGCGAGGGTCATCAGCCAGAGGCTCTGGCCCAGAGAGCACCGAATTGACTCTCTGTGGCACACGAGAGTATCCCATAACCTTGCTGCTACTTATGCGGAGCGAAGCATCCAGCGTTGCAAATTTCGGAGAGTTTTTCGACAGAACTTCGAGGTTGAGACTTTCGGATCTCACAAGTTCTGTAGCAACGTATCATGCTTTCGCCCCACTATCCACTACTCCCGACTAACTGACTGACTAACCAAAGGAGCGAATGGTTTGTGTTGTGGTTGGGGGGGTGTTGGATCGATTAACATCCAGTTACCATCTAGTTCATGGGAGCTCTCTTGAAACCACCCACAGGCATCCGGTTTAAGTTGGTTTGGGAGGCATAGGTAGTCAAGCGAAGGTCATCAGCCAGAGGCTCTGGCCCCGAGAGCATCGAATTTACTCGAAGTTGGTGATAGTGTACTTGTGCACTCTACGGAACCTCATCCGAAGGCCTCCACACCCTGGATCCCAACAAGGAGAGTCATTGTGGAGTTAGAAGGCAACCGTGCTTCGCTAGGTGATGATGTATGGCACTCCACTGATAAGCTCAAGAAGCTAAATGATGAAATGCTACCTCGGTATGTATTCAATGGTACTCTATCTCTCATAACAGTATAATACTTCTGATATTTGCACTTCTACACCAAATTACTAAGTATCTGGAGACGTGTTCGCACACGTATGCACGGATCTCTTTCGCCCATTATTCGCTGCATAAAACGGATCGCAGCCATCAGGCTGAAATGTATAAGATAGGAAGCCTAATCACCCATTTTGGCTATCTCAAGTGTTGTTAAGTCAACCAGACTGGTTGAACCAGTGCGGGTGTTACTACTAACAGGCGTCTCCCTGGTTCAACCGGGGAGACGCGGGTGGCCAACAACCTTACTTTCAACAGGGTGGCTGAAGTAAGGTGCCGCCAGACCGTGAAATATTTCACCTGAAATATTACTGAATTTTTCAGAAATTTTCTGAAAAATTTGACTGCATTTTGCGTGACATTCAGTAATCTTTACCAGCTCCATGTATGACGGCAACAGTATGCGAGACCTTGAGGGCACAAGGATCATCATAATAGCGCATAGACTACCTAAGGTAGGTAAGTAAAAGGGGTTCTCGAGTTCATTACCGTTCAAAGGTAGGCTACCTTCAAAGGGTAAAGATCTCGAGAACCTAAGATAAGATAGTCCCACTCAAGGATGAGAACCGGTTAGTTTACTGAGTAATCTTTACTCAAGCCCCTCAGACTCGCCCTCAATTTGGGAACATTCATGAACTAACGTTAGTTCTTTTGAGCAAGGTGAGCAAGGCCGTCAGTTCGTTCTACTAATCCACGTCCTCAAGGACTTATTTGAGATTGCGATGAGGCCCAATCAGTTTGCCTTATCCCGTCCCTAACTCGCGGAAATGCAGATAAGTACATCATAATTCTTCGCCGAAGTAGATAATCGCGTGCCACAAAACCCGTGAGCATGATCCCCGGTTAATGAAGCTCTAAAGCATTTTTCTCACTTTGTGTTTAACTAGATTTTGGGGAAAAATACGCACAACTTCTGTTCTTCGCTGTAAGTTTCCAAAACATTGCTTAGTTCAGAACCAATACTGTAGCTTGATCTCATTTCGAGATTAGTCTCCTCACACTTGAGAGTCTGGAAGTCTCAAGTTGAGACTGAGAGACTTCTGAAACGTTCTTTGAGTTTTCAAGTTTGTGAGGTTAGAGTCTTAATCTTAAGATTCGCCAGATTGACGAATCTGAAGGGCTTGGCGATGCCAATCTTTATGGGCTAGTGGAAATCTCTTAGTGGAAGCCGCCCGGAGTGTTTTCACGCATCATCAGACATCCCGTAAGATAAAAGCGATTTTGGAATACGGGGCCCCATTTCGAAGCTCAAAACTCGAGCTTTTCAATGATGAACTGGAGTGTTTGGGATGAGCTCTTGTGATCAAATCATTTGATTCAAATGTAGTACGATACAAATCCATCTCATGCCTATCGCCAACCGCCCGAGACGGAGAAGATTTTCAGGGATGCCTTCTTGAGATGGAGCATCGGCCCGGCCGACTTCTCAGTATTCCATAACCGAAAGTTTGCACACTTTGTCTGAGGCTATTTTGTTCTTCATAAGAATCTCATGATGAGATCAATACCTGCGGGTGGGTTGACTATATCACCGCCAGAAGATACGCCCTAGTAGTACAATCAGGCTGCAGGACCACGCAATAGGTCCTATCGGATAGAAAGATCAATACCGTTGGTTCGACTGGAGTATTTCCTACTTCAACCGGGATAGGGCAAACTACGCGCGTGATCCATGATGAGAGTCCTCAAGCACTAGTTATCGACGTAAACCTCTCAAAAAAGC